TTTGTTACTCCTTCCTCCACCTGGATGAAGTGTATAAAATATTTTGTTACTCCTTCCTCCACCTGGATGAAGTGTATAAAATATTTTGTTACTCCTTCCTCCACCTGGATGACGTGTATAAAATATTTTGTTACTCCTTCTTCCTCCTGGATGACGCGTATAATAGATATTTTGTTACTCCTTCCTGCTCCTGGATGACGCGTGTAATAGGTATTTTGTTACTTCTTCCTCCTGGATGACGTGTATAATAGATATTTTGTTACTCCTTCTTCCTCCTGGATGACGTGTATAATAGATATTTTGTTACTCCTTCCTGCTCCTGGATGATGTGTATAATATACAACTTTTTTTGAGTGTCTTTAAGAAATATTAACATCAATATCCAGGTAAAATATGAGATCTGTCAATCTTAAGTAATTAACATCCTCTTGAAATATAAGAAAAGCTTGTTCCAAGTAACTGAACTTGTACATAAATGCATACACAGCATATTTATACAAAATATTTGTATAAAAAGACCCTTGTTCCTACCATTATTCATTCTTCAGCAGATATCACACTAACTTGGTTTTAGGACAACAGAGGTCTAAATGTCCCATATTTTTATTGCTTGTGTGTGTTAAAAGTTATGTTGCAACAGTTTCTTTGTCTTGTAAAAGACTTAAAAATTGAAAGCTTATGATTTTTTACAGGTAGTCGAGCAGGTGGACTTATTGCAGCTTGTTGGGCATCACTCTTGTTCTTTGGAAAAGAAGGCTACACTAGTAAAACAAAACAAATCATTTCAACAGCAAGGTTTCTTAATGAAAGGCTAGTATTCTGTTTAAAAAATGGTATAGACTATTTAAGTTTGTTGCTTATAATACTCAGCATAACTGACTAAAGGTTCAGTTTGGTTACGTGGGAATATTTCATACATTTGATAAATGTGCACCCCAGTGGCAAGTCTGAGAGCTTAAAATGCTAAATATTAGGTTTCAATACCTGTGGTTGACACACCACAGATAGACCATTGTGTAGTGAAGTTTGTTACTATAAATTTACAATGTTTTAAAATAGCTAGTTCTTCATACAGAAAAACTGAGTTCATATTTACATTATTTAAACAATAAGGAACATCAATATTAGAAAACAACATTATTAGATAATACAAGTTTTATTTTGACTTGCCGTGGAAGTTTAATATTGTGAGCAGACCGTGACAAAGGTGATGCATGAAGTTTAACTGGAAAAGCTGCTTCTAATTTTATGATTTTGCCAAAAATATTTAATCAGTACAAATATTTAATGTAAGTTTTGCTTTTCACCTTGTTGACAATACTTGCCTCTGTACCCTACTTGTCTAATAATAAGTATCAGCATTTTTTATTTTGTTGTGTGTATTTTGTCCTAATTTCATGGACTGCAGATATTATGTTCCCAGTTTTGTATTATACTCTTAATTACAAAGGTTTCCTGTGAAGTATGTTTAAAGACAATAATAACACAATCAGGGAAAGTTTTTTTATTATCATGAATTCAGTAGCAAATATAAGTTGTTATTTAGTCTGATAACAAGGTTTCCATAAGTCCTTGAAGTTGTGGTAAGTTGTAGATAAGTTCTAAAAATATTGGAAAAGTCTATAAATTTCAGGTTCAGTGTGAAATCCTTTATGAAATAAGCAGTTTAATTCAAAAATATTAAATAACAAACAATTTTGGTTATTGGAATTCAGCTTGTTCATGTGGTATCAGCTGGTATTGATCTCATGCTTTGTGATACCGAAGACTGTTGCTACTCCTGTTGGCAGGCATGTTTGTTTAACAAAAATCCAACTTTAATTCTCCATTGGAGAGGTAGAGTCCTTGAACTCTTGAGTGTGGGTCCTGGACTTTTCTCATGTAAAAGTCTGCTATAATCTATACAGGACAGCTATTCGTAGGCTGTCTTATAAAATACATTTAAAGTCACTGAAATGAAATGTTAGCAATGATTTAGAAGTGTATCACCATTTGACTATGAAGAAACATTAGTATTCACTGCCCTACTACAAAAACATCCCATTATTTTAATCATGAAAGAAGCATCAGAAGATTTAGAGCCAAGTCTCATCATGAGAAGATGGAAGAGCCAAGTCTCGTCATGAGAAGATGGAAGAGCCAAGTCTCGTCATGAGAAGATGGAAGAGCCAAGTCTCGTCATGAGAAGATG